CAGCTCTGTCTTGTCAAATGCACCACGTACGTTTCGAAAATTTTAACTTTAAATATCTTTAAAGTAACTTTAAAAAGAGGCGAACTGAAGAAAACCTAAGGAGTACTGAAGAAACGTGAGCTACAGTGAAGCAAGCAGAGAGAGATCCGTTACTGTCCGTGTGTGTGCGTGGATGGACCGGACGCGGACTGAGCTCCCGGTGCAGAGTTTTGTGTGTAGGGAGGGGCGGGCGCTCTATGTGACTGGCCAATCACAGAGCGTGAAGACAGTCAGTTACCCAATGAGGATTTTCCTTCAGCACGATTACAGGAGTTTTACTCGTTTCATGCTCGTACTCGTCAAAAATGCTTTATCCGCTAGGCTCATCCCTAGTAAATATGGTTTAATTCTCAGTTTCCTTTCCTGAAGCTTACGTCCCGTTTTACAGCCTCATATTTTTCTCTGCATTCCTGGGCAGGACCAGCCTTTCTGTGCAGAGGACAGCTGTGAGGACACTGACGCTTGTCTCAATGCAATCTGCTGGGTTCCATATATAAAACTTTTTACGATGGGCTTAATGAACTGAACTGTATTGTAGAACTGGACGATAATTCAATAGTCCAATATATCTATCGATAGACATGTTGTGCAATAGGGATTAAATGGGTCGATAAAACTTTGATAAAAGTTTCCTTTTTTCATTATAACCTATCTCATAGCAGCATACTGAAGAAATACACTCCTCGATGTCTAATGGCTTTATTGATCAGGATGAAGGAGCCCTGCGGCGACATACAAAGCTGAGTGAGCAGAAGCTAACGGCAGCATGAAGCAGCAACATGGGCTGAAGACCAAATCTAAGCAATGTGATAAAATAGGTAAATAAATGCAGCGCGGCTTAGCATGCGTACTGACAATGTGACCATTACCTTAGCTTAACAAGTAGGTAAAACACTTACAGATACAAGTCGAACAGTAGCATAGACAGACAGCAGTGTGATGGTTGAGCAGCAGCAATCCAAATGAGAAGCAGCGGTATGTACAGTGAGGGATAGTCACATGTACGTGACTTCAGGCACTTCCCTGCAGGGGATTAGTCACCTGTACGTGACTTTGGGCACATCCCTGAATGCACATTTTTCCCTTGAGGCTTGATCGCAGCACACCCTAGTGGCTAGTGGTGACCTCTGCATCCCCCCCAGTCCAGGAAGCTGTGTGACACACCGGCGCAGTGGACTTCTGACCTAAACCACTGGCCAGTTTCAGGTACATAACGCTTGGGTGGCCACCTTACCCGACCGGAGCCCGCTGGCTGGGGGGGGGGGGGGGGGGGTGGCACTGTTCCGGGGTCTGCGCCGCTGGGGCAGCATCCCCATTGGCTACGTCTGGAGGATTCTCTTGAATCACTGCGTCGGAACGGTTGACAGCTTATCGGGACGCGTTCCCGTGTCTAAACCGGGGTGGCTAGTTAGCTCTTCGGCTAAGCTAGCGAGAGCCTGGAGCGACCAGGACAATATTGCCCGATTAACCAAACGTGCCTTAGTGACGAGGTAACTTAGGGACTTTTAGCGTCCGCACTCTGGAGTGCAGATGCTCTCTTCGGTGTCTAACGTCGACTTATAGCGAAGTAATATTAGCAAGTTAAGCTAACTATTGTGCTAGCGAGTTTACCGGGAAAGGACAGACGCGGATCAGACGTCTTCCGAACGGAAGTAACTTCCGATGGGGATAAATCTATCTCCGATTTCACAAATATGTGCACACAGTGTCACAAACACAGCGACAAATAATAAAACAGACAGTTTTCAACGTACCAAGACAGGAAAAATATACCTTCATATGTAGGCCTCAAAATGGCCGTTCGCCACGTCAGCTTTAAGGTGTTTTGATGAAACAGCGCCTCCTTTGGAGGGTGATGAATGTGCAACCCCCCTTCAAGATAAAAGCCCTGCCTCACTAGCTGAATGAGAAAAGCTCTCTTTCTCCTTTTTCTGAACTCACACTGAACAAAATCCCAAATATGTCTCAAAATCGGCACAAAGTGTAATAAACTGTGCAGATATCAGGCTAGGCTTGCCAATTGTAGTGAAATATAGATCTAAATATTATAATCAGAAGTGGTTGTTTTTATCATCAGGGAGTTTACTTAAACACTCTGTATTGACTGAGAGACAAGAAAAGAGAGAGTTGGGATCGTTTAAGAATCTTTAATTTCTATAATTATAAATTCTTACAATCTACCAGGACTAACTCTGTGATGGATGCATATGGATTAGAATGTTATCGTGTTGGTGTGTGTAGGTTCAGGATCTCTAGGCTGACGTAGCGAATCTGGTTGTTATGACTACGAACCACGAGGCTTCAGAAGCTGATGACATGAGCAGCCATTTTGCCGTAACTACGTACCATGTGGAGCCTCCCGTGTTAGATCAGGAATTGCCAGGTCCTCGGACCTTCAGGTGTACTGGAGCTGGTGAAGCAGCAGTCGCAGCACTACAAAGCCCGTCTGCGGGTCGACTCCGGTAGCAGCGGCAGGCGTCAGCGAGTTAAGCTCTTATTTTGAAAGAACGTCGTCTTGTTGTTCAAACGACAGAAATCTCCAGCTTGACAGTTCTCAGCTTAAAGTAGGAAAGTGCAGCTGCCAGCCTGCAACTTTGTTAATGATGACGATGGAAATCCTTAGGACCTCCAATTTAACAGAACTGAGGTTAAAACGGAACTGAGTTTAAAATGGCGTTGCCTTGTTTTATATCCCCTAGTTGTTTACAAATCTTAGTAAACTGGATTGGACAACTTCATTAAACAACCCAGATTCTGCCCTACGACAGACGAAAGTTCTGATTGGTTGAGAACAATGTGTCATGCGTTTCCATGTTAATGTAGATCAGTCTGTCTGGTGCAGTCCTGTTTATTCATTAAACACATAACTCATGACATCTTTATTTCACAGATCATTCACCTGATTATTAATGATCAACATATGTTTTGACTAGCTTTATCACAAATGAAGTACTTTGATTAATTAAAAGTGTTCTTCTTCTGTTCTTCTTCTTCTTCTTCTGGAATGTAAACATTCTGAAACCAGCACCCGACCTTGGCGGTTCCTACACGTTGTTACTGTGTTAAGGGGCAGCTGTTAAGGGCAGACAATTATGATATTCATAACGCTATAGCCGACATGAAGTCGCAACAAGGTACCGGCTGGGCGGTGCCGGGGTTTGTGCCTTGGGGCTCGGGTGGTGTGCGTGACTGATCTGGCAGGGGTCCCGCTGACCCCGGGTTGGTGGGACCTAAGTCGTGTGTCTCGTCGTTGGACGCAGGCAGGGGCTCAGCGCTCTCTGGGTGAGTGCGAGGAGTGGCCGGGGTGAAGGTGCGGAGAAAGCGCCGGTTGCACAGGGTGAGGCGGCCAGACCCGTCGACTCTGACACGGTATTGGTCATGTCTTAGTGACTCTACTACCACCCCAGATCTGTCCCATGCCCGCGGACTACAGCCAGCTAGGTTCTGGAGGAACACCGCCTCCCCGACTACGAGAGGTCAGAGCGGTCGTACGTGTTCTCTCAGAGACTCAGTGGTACGGGCCATCCGAGTCCGGAGGGCCCCTTCCTTCGCCGCCCATGCCTGACGCCAGAACTGCTCCCAACAAGGAAGTGCCAAAAGTTGCCGTTCCACCCTCGTCCACTAGGGGCTGGCGCCAAACCACAGCAAGTTCTCATTGACTCCCATGTTAAAAATGCCAATTTCACAGCAGAAATAAATGTATTTACAGCCTGGTTAAAAAAAACATTTTAGGTTTAATTGATCTAGTTTACATTCATGACAATTCTGTGGGAGGTGAATTTTTTTAACTCCTCCGTTAAAAGGTGCAGTATGTAAGAATATAGAGAAAATTTTGCTATGAGATAATCCCTAAAGAGTCTAATGATTCAGTCATTTTGGAAGGAAGGTTCTACTGAAACTGTTTCATATCCAGCTGGCTGTCAGGGACGTAACTATTGTTTACCATCAGTGAGTGTCGGGTTGCCGTGTCTCCTGCAGCAGCGCCCACAACTGTAATTTGGCGACGGCCGGTAAAAAGCTCCAGAGTTGTTTACAGTGGATGCAGCAACCAAATTTTACCACAGGATGTCATTTTTACTTCATTTCTACATAATGCATCTTGAAGAGTAATTCAATTCTTGAAATTCTGAAAAATTAATGAGTATCAGAGCCACCGCTAGCAGCTAGCTCCAGTGAAGGCTTCAGCCTTGTCCTCACATTAATAGATGTTCAACCATTTTGACTCTGAACTTTAGTTGTGTCCTCTGTGTTCGTGTTTGGATGTTAACCATGGAATTATTGGGAAAAAGAGGGAAAGCTGTGGTAATGACTGCACTAGTAGATCATCCAAAAAGTCTCTGCTTCATGTTCATCCGTTAGTAAAATTGTATTTCTATAATTGATTTTGCTAGTTGAATGGAGTAAATGCTGTGAATTGAACGTAACACTGCTTGGTCAAAGAAGGGCTGAAATGTAATGTGTTGGTGGGGCTGGCTGGCTGACTGGGTACCAAAACTCGTAAGCTGATCGAGGCTAGTTAGCAGAGGCTTCGCTGGTCCACTGCGATCAAAGATTTGCGAGGTCGTTACTGCAGAGAGGTTTGCTGAGTTTCAATCACAGGCCTCTCCTTTAATAGTGGCAGTTCTGCGATCAGAGGTCCGTGAATCTCCTGCTTCATCCTTGCAGAGGAAGCCCAGCGAGGCGGGCGTGCAGCTTCTCCAGTCTCTCAGCCGGGAACAGCTGCTACACACAGGCAGTACTTGCTGGGTGGTAGCTGTTAGCTTTTTGCTCCATATATTGTGTTAGCATGGCAGCCTCTACTATTAAAAAGTTGGCTTGTTACTCATATGAATCTTCCTGCAACAGAGCATGTAGATCTCTCAGCAGTCATGTTATCGGCACATCTGTTAAAATGCGCCCACCATAAAAATAATTCACCTGCCACCACTGAGCATTGTCAACATTTTTCTGTTCCTCTCCAGCCAGTACGGACTACATCCGCCCATGCACCAGGCTCCACCCATGCACCAGGCTCCACCCATGCACCAGGCTCCACCCATGCACCAGGCTCCACCCATGCACCAGGTCCCGCCCATGCACCAGATCCCGCCCATGCACCAGGCTCCACCCATGCATCAGGCTCCACCACCACAACCCTATCAGCAAATTCCACCTCAGTACCAACAGTCACCCACACATCAAGCCCCACCCACTCAGCAGAGTTCCATCCAGATTCCACTTGGTTCTGGACCCCCGAAGGTTGTAAGCACCGCCTGCATCTACCCCACCCAACCAGGTGTGGTGTCACATTTTTGATTTTTTATTTACTTCTGTTTTACTATATCAAACAGTCTTGTTACCCCAACACCAGGGGAACATCCATGGTTTTCTGGAATGTAAGATGAATGTAATTACTATAACAGTAATAAAATAACACTGTATAACATTCAAACTTTCACATAATTTTAGGGAATTTTGGTTTCTTGTCTTTTTACACTTTATTTCCTTTTGAAGTGGAGTGCATGCTTGAGTACAGTATAGAGACTAAAGTGTGGTCCACCAAGTGGGTAGGGATTAAGAACTATTCTGTTTCATCCAGGTCCAGCTCCTGGCTCAGCTCCAGTCCTGGCCCAGCCCCAGCCCCACCCCCCTATCTCTGCTCCAGCTCCACCCATAGGTGGTCCCTCCTCTTCCAACAGACCCCCCTGGGTAACTGACACAAATTTTGCTGATAAATTTGACCCCGGTAAGACCACCACCACCTCCATGAAAGTGCAGCCACTGCCCCAAGCAGCCCCTCCCCCACCAACATACATCCCCAACCCCTCCTCCGCAGTCCCAGCCCCATCCACTCCAAACCCCACCCCAATACCATCCAGCCCTGCACCTTTCCCTCCTGTGGCTAGGGGTGTGGCTCAAAGGGCAGAGAGATTCGCCGCCAGCAGCCGCACACCGCTGTGTGGCGCGTGCAACAGCATCATCAGGTAACTCATTCCTGTAGATTCATTTTACTGGAAATTCTGTTTTTATATTAATTTTGAACATTTTATATTGACATTATTTAAAAAATATAAAACTCTGAATTTGAGTATTTACTATTAAATACAATTAAGGCCATTTAAATACAAATATAAAACAAGTCCACCATCACTTCCTTCAGGCTGTATGAACATGTTGTTGTGTCCCCAGGGGCCCCTTCCTGGTGGCCCTCGGTCGCTCCTGGCACCCCGAGGAGTTCAACTGCCACTACTGCCATGTTTCTCTGGCGGATGTCAGCTTTGTGGAGGAGCAGAATAATGTTTACTGTGAGAACTGCTATGAGGAGTTCTTTGCTCCAACCTGCGCTCGCTGCAACACCAAGATCATGGGGGTGAGATGGTGCCTGTGGGCCGCTTGTCCGTCAAGTAAAGCTCAGACGTTTATATCAGAATCCTTATTATGCTTCTTTGCCTGATTTGGCTTTATTCATAATCCGCTTCATTTTAAAAATTATATTATTTAAAATGCAATTGATTCAGACAACATAAAATCACAGCAAATCATTGATCTGCACATTAACAGTCAAATAAGTAGGTTCAGTACCCTGACCCTTATGAAAAACAGCGTTAGGATGACCAGATGCACCTTGCCCTAACTGTGAGACTGGGGCACCCTCCTAGAACCAGCCCTGGAAGGGGAGCCTTGTCTCCTGGGAACTGACTGGACTCAGCCAGAAGGGGCAAAAGGAATCCACTTCCACATGGGCCTACTACCTGCTGGGAGAATACTGAGGGTTTGGCACAGTGCAAGTCAGGTGACAGGCAAAGGAGAACCCTGGGTGGCATAAACAGGCTCTAGGGACATTGAATGTTACTCTCTGGTCAGGAAAACGACATCGCTTGTGTGTGAGGTAGAGCGATGCTAACCAGGTATAAATGGGCCGACCTCTAAGTGTGGTTTGGACTCTACTCCACCTCCTGGAGAAGGCTGGACTCTATCAGACTCTGGTGTTGCCTGAGTCAAGAAGCACAGCATGGGTTTGGGGATAACCTCATGTCTTGCCAGGGTTCTCCTGTGAGTGAGAGGCTGCAAGCTGATGGAGGAAAGCTACTGACTGTTGTTTGAGCCCACCCACCTAACATGAATTCAAATGACTCAGAATTCTTGGAGTCCTTGAATGTGGTTTTGGAGAGGTTACCGTGTGTGGGGCTATAGTTGCAACCAAGGCTCTATATCAGTCCTCTTGGTCACAGGCACATCAGTGTGTGAATGACTCTGGAGTCTTTTGACATAGCTTGACCTGGCTTGTATGACTTGACTAAACTAGACACGAGTTTTTATTTTTAAAGAAAAATTCTACTCATTATAGTTCTGTGAGATAAATCAGTATCAGCAGTCCTGAACAGAGAAGAATCTAATTTTGATATCGGCCTTCAGAACCAGGGGCCGCATTAAATCATGCGCTCATAGAAATATTCCTAACTCCTTTAACTCTGCAGTCAGAGACGCCAGGGTTTCCTATTTCTCCAACCTGGTGTCCCAGAGCAAACGGAACCCCAAGGTGCTGTTTAACACCATCAGCAGCATCGTCTCTCCTGCCTCTCCTACAGCCTCCATCCACTCTGTTACAGACTGTGAGAACTTTCTGTCTTTCTTTGTGGACAAAGTCAATAAGGTTAGATCTAGCATCTCTCCTTCAGCCTTATCGCCGCCTCTTCCGACTTCAACCAGGCCCATCATCCTAGATAGCTTTGCTCCTGTTTCTTTAACTGAGTTAACCAAACTAGTTAACTCTAAGAAGACCTCTGCATGCCCCCTCGACATCTTACCCTCATCTTTGTTTAAAAGTGCTTTTCAGTCCATCGGTCCCAGCGTGCTCTCTATAATTAATGCTTCTCTGGTCTCTGGTCAGGTCCCTGCTTACTTTAAGAACGCTGTAATCCACTCGCTTCTTAAAAAGCCGAGTCTTGACCCCTCTCTCCATAGCAGCTTCAGACCATCTCTAAACTTCCGTTCATCTCCAAGATCTTGGAAAAGGTTGTGGCTAAACAACTCACAGCTGCTCTTGAGGAACATAACATCTATGATAGCTTCCAGTCAGGTTTTTGTAGAACTCATTCTACTGAAACAGCTCTTCTTAGGGTCTCTAATGACCTTCTGATCCACAGTGATGCAGGGGACTGTTCTGTTCTGGTCCTGCTGGACCTGACTGCAGCCTTTGACACTGTTGACCATCACCTGCTACTGGAGAGGCTGAGAGACTGGGTAGGCCTTTCAGGATCTGCTCTGGAGTGGTTCTCCTCTTATCTTTCTGAGCGTTCCTTCTCTGTGGCCGTCTCCAAGTTTAGGCCCTCCACCACCTCCCTTACCCATGGTGTCCCACAAGGTTCTGTGCTGGGGCCTCTACTCTTCCTCCTCTATCTGCTTCCTCATCACCACAACCTGATCTCCTTCAAAGGAATCTCCTACCATCTTTATGCAGATGACATCCAACTGTACATCTCCTTTAAGCCCCATGAGATGTCTAAGCTGCAGCTGTTACACACCTGCTTAGACTCTATCAAAACCTGGATGGCTGGGAGCTTTCTTCAGCTGAATGAAGATAAGACTGAGATCCTCATCTGTGCCCCAGACAAGCTGGTTCCCAAAGTCAAAGACTCTCTTGGTCAGCTTGCTTCTCACACCAAACCCTCACACAATGCTTAAATTAGTTCGTACGGACAATATTCGCACAGATCTGTTCGTAAGTACGGCTGAGAAACGAGGCCCCTAGTTTGTTTCATGGAATAATAAAATACCAGAACCAACGTTTTCTGGCTTTCAGTGGAAACACAAGGGTTGAGTTGATTTTATCTGTGTAGATTTTTTTAACGTATCTTATAGAATGCCATGTGTTTGCAGGAAGTGATGCACGCCCTACGACAGACGTGGCACACCACCTGCTTCGTGTGTGCAGCCTGTGGTAAAGCCTTTGGGAACAGTCTCTTCCACATGGAGGACGGGGAGCCGTACTGTGAGAAAGGTACCACATTTGAAATGTCAGGTTGTGTTTTACTCTGAAAACACAATCCAACCGTGGCAGCCTGGCCCAGAGAGTGCTGAGAGTAGAATCCCCTAAAAGAGAACCATGTGGTATAATCAGAGGTTCATGTGTTCAAAACATGGACATGTGTTGCACCTGGACCCAGGAACAGAACCCACAGAAAAGCTAAAAGCCCTCTAGTGGCTGGTTCCAGAACAAGTTAGAAGCCCCGCCCCTCCACATAAACAAATGGGACTTTTTCCTGAATAATAAATAAAAAACATCTGATGATTTTTAGATTTGAATTCCTGTTGATTCCCATAGTTCTTATCTTACTGGTGCATGTTTACATATTTTTTATCCACAATGAAGAAAAAAGAAACTTTATTTTTTACTAACCTACAAAATACAATAACAGCCATGGGTCTGAGGTGAGAAGCTAGCGGTTCAACAAGGTTCTCTCTGGAGCACTTGCCACTAGCAGCTCACACAGACACTAAGGGACTGGATTGTGTGTGTGTGTGTGTGTGTGTGTGTGTGTGTGTGTGTGTGTGTGTGTGTGTGTGTGTGTGTGTGTGTGTGTGTATTTGTGTGTGTGTGTGTGTGTGTGTGTGTGTGTGTGTGTGTGTGTGTGTATGTGTGTGTGTGTGTGTGTGTGTGTGTGTGTGTGTGTGTGTGTGTGTGTGTGTGTGTGTGTGTGTGTGTGTGTGTGAGTAATGTAAGTAAACATTATTTGTGCAGTGCCATTCACTGGGAACACTCACGGTGCTTCACAGGACCATAAAACAGCATAGACCTCCATAGAATACAAGACCTACAACATCCACAATAAACATAAAATCAGGAAGACATTTCATTTCCCTCTGTGAAGAGACAAACATCTCCTACTGCACCTTCAAAGTTTGATGTTGACAATTGCATGGAACACCTGGTCAAGTTGATTATGGGCTTCTGCTAGTCCAGAGAAGAACAGATGAAGTCGTTGTGTCTGTCTCCATCAGACTACATCGCTCTCTTCAGCACCAAGTGTCACGGCTGCGACTTCCCGGTGGAAGCTGGAGATAAGTTCATCGAGGCTCTGGGTCACACCTGGCATGATACCTGCTTCGTGTGCGCGGTGAGAACCAAAACTAGACCCCGTCCAGTTCCTGAGACCCGAGTTTGTGTCCTAACTGCTGCTGTGTCTCCAGGTCTGTCACGTGAACCTGGAGGGTCAGCCGTTCTACTCCAAGAAGGACAAACCTCTGTGCAAGAAGCACGCTCACGCCATCAACGTGTAGAAGCTCGCTGCAGATCCACGACACCAGCTTTTCCAGGAGTGTGTGAAACATCCAAACACACCTTGATGTTAGTGCATTAAAACTAATGAACTCAAACAACCAGCTGAACTGTGATCCGTTCGTCTCGGAACAACTTGGGTGCGTTAAAAAAAATCACTTTAATGTTATAAAGATTAAAGCAAAAAGGTGTTGAATATTTAAATTTGATATATTTAAAAAACACAAATTTGAAGTTTTACCAGTTTAAGTGCCATTTTACTATTTATTTAAGATAGTTTTAATATTTTTTGCTGTTTTGAAATCACAATTTCATTTCAGTTTAGTTTTTATTAACTGACATTAAAATGATCAAAATGAAAGTGTGAAGCTGTTTGGAGACTAATTGAGCTGCAGATGTTTGACTTGTTGTTTAGGATAAATGTGAGAACATTTAAGGGTTGTCCTGCTCTGCAGCACAGAAACAGCAGCAGATCCAAACTTGAAGCTTTACTTTTGCATCTAAAGAAACAATCAAGACAGAAACTTGATTCTGGTGCAGGTTTAAACCGGCACTACCGGGCCTTGACTGGGCCGAGTCTGACCCGTTAGAAACATGCCAGGTTCACCTGAGCAGGTAAAGACACGAGGAACAAGGTTAGCTGCTCCAGTCGTCCTCAGAACAGAGTTCCTGTAAGAAGTTGTTGTAAATGTCAGTCTTCATTACGGGTAAAAACAAAGCACGGCTGCCTGGATACACGGCCACAGCTGTCACAGAGACACGAGTGCTATAAAAAACTAGACTCACAAACACCAGAGAGACATGAAAGCAGAGAATTATACTAGGAGACAAGACAACCGTACGTATGGAGAGACAGAAACCAAAACTTCACCGTTGCTGTTTGGAGGACGTTAGTTAACGCACAGCTCAGGTGAGGCACTGAAGATGCTGGAAATGATGATGATGATGAGTTAATTCATGTAAAGGGGCCATATCATGGAAAATCCACTTTTTGGAGCTTTTCACCCCAACCCTGTTTTTGGTTGTTTCCGCTGAAAGTTTTCAGATTCTGAGGTGAGGACCTGCAGACAGGATGGAAACTAGGTGTGTCATCAGGCCTTTGTCCTCCCCCTGAAGCTAGTCTCGAATCTGAAACCCGCCTCCCCTGGAAGAAGGTCACTAACGCCCACTTTCTCAGAGATGCGGGCCTTCATGTCACAGATGGCTGCTTTGAACCTCCACCGGCACCAGAGTGGATGTTCTGCCAAATAGCTTCAGCATTTGGGACAAAACACCACCATGACCATGAGTCCTGTCCACAAAGACACACACAGGACCAGCACAGGATATGTGTGTTGGCGACTATTATCTGTGACAGGTTGGTAGTCCAGTGGTTAGAGTAACTGGCTGGCATGCTGTTTTACACCAGTTCATATCCTGCTCTCAGCAGAGACTTTGTTACTTCTTTTTTAGCTGCACTTGCAGTTTTCAACCATTTATTGGTAAACAGTTTAAAAAGTAGGGCCTAATCAGTTTTTTTATTTATCTAGTCAGTGTGAGGCCATGTGAGGTGAACTGAGTGATCAACTATAAGCTGCTTGGAAAAGACCAAACTCCAAATCTTTAGCGACACAAAATATTTAGCAGAAATAATCAATACAACTAAAATAAAAAAAACATCAATTTTGCTAGTGTCTGAGTTATGAAGTCAATACAACCATGCCATGCACTAACCCTGGAAGCATCAGCGGAGCGGAATGTCTCTGCTTCAAATATAATCAGTTATAGTCTATGAATTGTCTCAAACCAGTCGCGACACAGCAATTTTCAGACATGTCCCAGTAGCGGCCCACCGTGCCGTGCTGCACCGTGCCGCTGAGAGTAGGATCGGGTTCTATTTTTGCTGTAAACCGCTTCTCGGACACTTCAATTTCCGCAGTTAACATAGGGAGCCTAAGTCCCCCCCCCCCCCCCCCCCCTTTCCGGTCGGCTCATGAATCCCCGGAAGAATGAAAAAATTAATGCAAGTCAATGGGGCTAAAAGAGCTATTTTCTGATCTGATGCCTTAGGCCTAGCCTGACCAGCCAGCCTCAGGCTCCCTTATGGGAAACATTGGGTCTGATAACTCTTCTATTCAAATAACCCCACCCCCTGAGAATTCTAACCGAGCCAATCAGCGCCGAGCAGCATATGTCACACACCGCAACGCTGAGTTTCTCATAAACAATGAAGACGCCGTCTGGAGTGGAGTTTGCTACGGCTCTTTCCTCTGATCTAAATGACTTCGACACGTCTTTAAAACAACAAGTAGGAGCTCTAAAAGCCTTTCTTCTTAAGAAAGATATTTGCACCGTCGCTATTTTTGACTACAGCTAAAAAATTCCAGCGTCGTGCGGTACAGTCGGCATGTCTGCCTTTTTCCTGATTGGTTATTTTTGAGCTGGCTGGTCCCACCCCTCATTGGCCTCTCTGCCTGTGAGGAACCAGACTCTTTGTCTGTGCAGACAGAAGACGAGTCTGGCAGGCCAGGCTACTTTACGCCCAGGATTGCACTGCAATTTATCGTTGTACTGCAACTGAAATAAAAACTAATGATAGGTGTTTCGACCATGCCAGTCATGTACTTTGAGTTTTATTAGCTTGTAAAGGTTTGTGATTAGCATGACTACAAACCAGAAACTGGCACGTTGCATATGTGACATCACCACATAATCTCTCCCCTAGCGTAGCTGCTACTTACCACATGGCCAGATTTATGGTGGTTCTTTCCTCCTGAAGAAAGAATTTGAAGTTTGCTGAATTTACAGCCATTTCCCCTCTTTTTCTAAGTGTCTGGTTCGATGATGTCACTTTCGTGAAGCGTATTTGTAGTCCTGGACTTATTTTCAAACTAAACCTAAAATGATGTTTCTCCCCGTTCGAAAATAAATGCGTTCTTGGTATCAAAATGCATCTTTTAAATTCACATACATCATATGTGAAATCCACGGTTCATAACAAGCGGAATCAGAAAATAGTGTTTTTAGCCCCGTTGATTTGCATTCATTTTTTTGTTCTTCCAGGGACCCGTGGTGCAGAAGTAGATGGCCATGATTTAGGCTTCCTTTAGGGCTAGACAGGAACTCACACACTGTTTCAGTGCAAAATCCCTGGTAATTTTCAAAATAAAAGTGCTGCAGTGGTGCAATTTCATATATATGAAGCTTACATGTGACCCAACGGCTTATTTACTTACATCATCCCTCCAGAAGTGAGCGGTGTGTTTTTCATGGCTTTAATCCTGGCGGTGGAGAGGAGCAACATCATTTTTGACCTCAAACAGCTGTATCAAATGTAATTTCCTTCTTTTTGGTTTATAGGGCGGATTGCGCCAAGACTCCCCCGGCGTGAAATTAAGCGTTTTGAAGTTCGCGAGTAAGCCGTTCCATGTCACTGATGCTTCCAGTGTTGGGGGTTAGGTCATCGCAGCAAGACTTTCTAGTCGTTCCGCGTGTGAAATTCTCAACTAGAAGAGGCAGGGCTTTCTCGGTTTTGGTCCCTAGGCTGTGGAATGGCCTTCCAGTCGTGGTCAGACAAGCAGCCTCGCTGCCAGTTTTTAAGGGTCTGATCAAGACTCACTTCTATACTGTGGCGTTCCCTCAGAACGTGAGTTAGCCTTACTTTTAGATAATTTAGCTAAAAGCCTTTTACAGTGATCCCTCGTTTATCGCGGTAGATGCGTTCCAGACCTGGCCACGATAAGTGAAAATCCGCGAAGTAGGGACACCATATTTACAGTACAGTACTATATTGACTGTGGGTAAAACTCAAGAAAAAAAATTTTACTTGTTTTTTTTTACAGTTTTATTACAAAAAGTGCATTTTATCATGAAATTGATGAAAAAAACAGGAATTTCTTGATATTTCGCATAGAAAAATACCGCGAATCGGTGAAAAATAACGCGAATCGGCAAATTTCCCTTGAATGAGGCTCCAAAGAAAAAATCCGCGAAGTCGTGAATCCGCGATAAACGAACCGCGAAGTAGCAAGGGATCACTGTACTTTTATCTCCTGGTCTTTTCTGTTTAAATGTATATTTTTGGCCCTTGAATGGGTCAGTGATGGTTTAAATTCCTTTATGCATGTACAGCGCTTTAGTCCGCTTCCTGACTGATGGAAAGCTCTTTATAAACCAAGACGATGATGATGATGATGCTCTAGTGACTGCTGACACCACCGAGAGTCGATGCGGCATCAGGACATGGCAAAAGAAGGTGAAAGGTCGGAGCTTTAACTGCTGGACTACCAATGCCAACACAAAGATCCTAAGACACTGTTGTGGATGGGTTTTGTCGGACTGGACGTGAGCAGAGCCCCGGGGCTGTTTGCAAACATACGTTCTACTCTTTTGATGCTTTGCGAGTTATGTTAACAGGTGAAGCTCGGACCGCTGGAGGTGGGGTAGACTGAAACAGATGGTTTCATTTCTGGGTACAAAGACAGGCTGACGAAAGTAACTCATGTTTAAGGTAAAATTACATCTCAATAGTGCCAATGGTAAGATTTTATCTACATTAGCTCTCAAAGAGTTAAATAGCATGATCTGGCTCCTTTAATGATCCACCAGATAGAATCCTAGAAGCCTTTAGTTTTATTTTTTCTGACTTCACAGAGTTTCTTGTGAGTGCTGATGTTTTCTAACATCTGGAAATGTTCTGAAGCCTTACTGCTTGACTGTTTATGTTTCTGTTCACACTGCTGCGCCTCAGACAGCTTTGATACAGGAAGTGATGTCGGCCTGAGCAGGAAACAGTACATTTTTTAAAACAAGACTTTATTAAACAGAGGCTATGCTGTTGAGTTTGAGGTCTGGAAAATGATACAGCACTTCCAGAACAAAGCTGAATTTTGTGTTTGGTCCAGAAAAAAAACGTTCTCTGTCACTAGTTTTAGGAAAGCTGAAGTCTGGAAGAAATGACCAAAGTCCTCTAAAAGATCACTGAAGAAACCAGCTGTAGAGGGTTAGACTCCTGGTCCTCCTGGGAGGAGACTCGGAGACAAACCCGGGACTCGATGGAAAGATTATATTTCAGAGCTGGCTGAGGTACACGGAGTGGATGGAGGCCCAGTAGGATGGAGGGATGATGTCACTGCTCTTTGAAACACAGAAGCTGATTTAGCAGCATCTAGTGGTCAGTGGAGGAATGACACCTGCACCAGCAGGTGGAGACGTCTTCCTGCTTTGCTCTGGGCTAATGAACAGAAGGGTTTGTTTTTGGTGAAGGAACAGGAACAGCTCCAGGTGTCTGAATTGAGTCCAACACCCTAAGTTTCTAACAGCATTGTAGTTGTGTGTGAACTGAGGACCTGGAGCTCTGCAGTGTGAACAGAACCTGAGATATCCCGACTATGATGGATTATTTTGGTTTTAAATGTTTTTTAGATCCACTTAATCAGGTTTCTGTGATGTTTCTGCAGCGATCGGTGCCTGGCACATGCTTTGTGTACAGTTTTTACTCTGTTCTGTCATTTTATACTGTTTCTTTTCTTGAGTGTGAATGTGTGCATGCAGACGGGTTTGTGGCAGCATGTCAGTTTGTGTCACTGCTTCATAACGGGGAGCGTTAACCCACAGGAAGGTGAGGAGCAGCAGGACAGACGGAGATTGTTGGAGTTATGATCAAAATGCTGCTTCATTACGTTTGTTTTGTGGGTTTTGAAGTATTTGTATTGCAGGTTGAATAAAATGAGCACCTCAAACACTTGAAATCATTTGTTCTGAAAGTTTCTTGTCTTTTTATTCATGCTGAGTTGGTAAAATACCTGGTCGACTCTGATTTATTAAAAATAAGGACAACTATAAATATATAGTTACAATATTTATCGGATTGTGTGTGTGTGCGCGTGCGCGCGTGCACGCATGTGTGTGTCAACATGAGTGTAATGAGGGGGTATTGTTAAAGTTCAAGTTTATTTATATAGCACCAAATCTTGACAAGAGTCGTCTCAATGCACTTCACATAGTAAACATTCCAATACAGGTAATTTCATTAAGCCAATCAGAAAAATATTTCCTATATAAGGAGCCCAGCAGATTGCATCAAGTGTCAGTGACTTTACAGCAATCCTCATACTAAGCAAGCATTTAGCAACAGTGGAGAGGAAAACTCCCTTTTAACAGGAAGAAACCTCCAGAGAATCCTGGCTCAGTATAAGCAGCCATCCTCCACGACTCACTGGGGATCGAGAAGACAGAGCACACACACACACACACACACACACACACACACACACACACACACACACACACACACACACACACACACACACACACACACACACACACACACACACACACACACACACACACACACACACACACACACACACACACACACACACACACACACACCATATATACCAAGTAGTGTTTCTATGGTTACACCGTGATTGCTTAGTAAATATTCTATTTGGTGAGAGATAAACTTTATTGTATTTATTCTAGTGGATCTATAATTAAATGGATAATCTAGCAGTAGCACATCCAACATCAAGGAAAGTAAAAAGTTATTATCAGGAGAGGGAGAATGTTTAAGTGGTTAGCAGCAGTGTGCTAGACGATGGCCCCCTCCATGAGGCCACCACAGCTCAGCAGAACATCATTGTAGCTTCTTCTGGGGAGAAAAACACTTAGAGAAAAAATAAAGTTAACAGCTGAAATAGTAGGAAATAATACAGTTAAAGAGCAGATTGTAGAAGAAAGTAGTCGAGTGTGGAAAGTGGTCAGTGTATCCTCCAGCAGTCTAAGCCTATAGCAGCATAACTACAGAGATAACTCTGGATAACCTAGCCTTTTTTCAGCATCACTCCTGGAAAGGATTTCAGGAATGTAAAAGGCTTTTACATTCCTGGTGATGGGAGGGAATGTAGGTATGTTGCGTCATTTTAACTTGTAAAACACTTTAAGTTGAGTTGCATTATATGAATTGTGCTATATAAATAAAGTTTATTATTATTATTATTATTATTATTATTATTATTATTATCTAGTTCATAATAAATATTAAGAAGGGCATTTTGTGTTTTGAGAGGGAATACCATTGTGACAAAAACAAACCCCGTTAAGATTGTTTCAACCCTCTACATTACAGCTGCAACTGCACCTCCGGCCACATGAAATAATTATTTATTAATTTGGTTTTATGTGTAAATAAAATGAATAACTCTCACCAAAGTTGCTGATTATTTATAGATGAAAACCATCCTCCTCTCTGCAGGAAGACTTAGATAACACTGTCTCTGTGTTTTAGTTCCATCAGTAAGTCTTTTCTATGCCGTGGAGGCCGAGGCTGAGTCGCCTCTGGCTGAGACAATCGAGTGACGGGGTTGGGCGACTCTCGTAATGACGATCAGCTTCTCTGAAAAATCCATCTTCAAAATGGAACTGAAATAATCCCTGAGACCAAATCAATTTCTTCTTCTCTGTTAGCCGCCTAGTTTGCTATCTGTTCACAAGAGATGATGGTGGTGGACGGCTGATGACGAGTTTTACCCATAATACTCTTGGAGACGATTTCGGAGAACCACTTGTAAACGAGCACATCATAAATCTACATGTGAGAGTAAAAATAAAGCCAGTCATGCAGCACACATTTTTATTTAATATTTGACAGCTACTGCATCACTAAAGTCAGTCGGTCTTGTAATGTTTTTAGCAACCATGACTCAGTCCTGACTGGGGCAGCCCTAAATAAATCTGCATGAGAGGAATTATTAAGAATGGAGCCCATTCTCCTCTGAACACAAGCTATGGAAGTGCTTGTCTTCTCCAGCATCTATCGTTTGTTTAGAGGCGCCGTTCCCTCTCATCCGCCTCACTGCAGGGGCGGGCTCCTCCCAAGCCTGGGCTGGGGTGCCAGATGGTGGACCAGAGTCTTCTCAAAGTCTTGCTCCATGGTCTTACCCAGCGATGTCCAAAGTGTGGCCTGGGGGGCCATTTGCAGCCCTCAGAGTGTTTATGCGTGGCCCTCACTAGCGTTTTTAGAATTGTGGAATTAAGATTCTCTAGGAGGCTGTTGATCGTTCCACAAATGTGGAATGACCTTCCTCCTGGCCTATACTCCTGAAGACCCTGCTCTTCAGAGAGCATCTTCTTAACTAGCATCCTCCCTGCACCTGTCCCCCCTCTACCGTCCACTCCTTTGTTCCCTCCTCCATGATTGATGTCAAGTTGTTGTTATTGTTGTTGTTAGCCTCAAGGGCAACATGCCGATTATCACTTGTAAGTCGCTTTGGACAAAAGTGTCTGCTAAATACATAAACATATAAAATCATACATTTAAATATTTAATGTTCCAATTTTTACTAATATTTTATGTAATATTTTATTTATCTAATATTTTAATAATATTTTCATTACTATTTAGGCCTTTTTAGCAGAACAAATGAAAAATCTGAAATAATGTTTGCATTCTTAAATTTATATATTAATTTCTTTATTTTTTTATTTTTTTGTGGCCCGTGAGGAATTTTAACTTCATGATTTTGGCCCTCATCTTGAAAAGTTTGGACATCCCTGGTCCTACCAAACTCAGCCACACCTGGGTTTTTGCCTCTGTGACCACCCAAGTTGCATTCTGCTTGGGCTGCCGGCACCTATCAGCCATGAAAACTGACACTTACACATTGTAAACACTGCTGTTGGTTGGAACTCAGCCATGAAAACTGATACTGTTTATAATCCATCCAGATTTATACCAAAGAATTGTACAATTGTTTTCTTATTAGTTACGTTTTACATCGAAGGTCTTGTTGGTAAACTAGAGATCTGTTATTGGGAGATGGTTTAATACAAATCAATGGTGAGATCAGAGACGGGTGATGGTGGTGGCATTTGAGAAGGGCTACATGAGGGTTAGACTGATCATAATGAATATCAGCTGATTCCAATCACTTTGCTTCAACAGAAAAGGGGGTATTTGTGATGGTTCAGAAACTATTTGACATTTATTTAGTTCCTCTTTCTATTTTAATCCACATTTCTAAAATATTTGTCATCAATTTTCTGTAACTGTGACAAAAAGTGTTGCAACATCAGCAGCAGCAGCCAAACCCAAACACTGGATTCCTGCTGGATCCTTATCAATGGACTAATTATAAGTTTCAGACGTGTTATCCTGCCGTTACCGCTAGGGGGAAACACAGTCAGTTTCAACATCTTTGAGCAGAACAGAGGTCTCACTCTGACAGGTTCTTCCTACTTAGGATAAGGCAAACTAATGAACATAAATGATGCTTCATCTGTATTTTTTTTTCTATAATTAATAATAAAAAGTATGACAAATGTACATTTACTTTATATGTGGTTGTTGTGTGAGAATACAATAAATAAACTCGCCTTCTTTATCATTTTTTCTTTATGCTTTTCAAAGAAAAGAGATCCATATTTAATTTGTTTTGTAACAAATATTACATTTTTTATATTTAATTTTTTTGTACTTACAAAGACTTAAATAAAAATACAAATAGATTATACTTTTGTATAAAGATTTTGTCAGTTTCCTTGTTCGATCCCCAGACAAGGAAACTGGTTTTTGGGACATGGAACGTCACCTCGCTGGCGGGGAAGGAGCCGAAGCTTGTGGCAGAGGTTGAGCGGTACCGGCTAGATATATTTGGACTCACCTCGACACATAGCATTGGCTCTGGAACCCAAGTCCTTGAGAGGGGGTTGGACACTCTCCTTTGCTGGAGTTGCTCCGGACGAGAGGCGGAGGGCTGGGGTTGGCTTTTTGTTAGACCCGAGACTCTCTGCCTGTGTGTTGGGGTTTATCCCGGGGGACGAGAGGGTAACTTCCCTGCGCCTTCGGGTCGGGGAACGGGTCCTGACTGTTGTTTGTGCTTATGAACAGAATATCAGTTCAGAGTACCCACCCTTTTTGGAGTCCCTGGGACGAGTGCTAGATAGTGCTCCATCAGGGGACTCCATTGTCCTGCTGGGGGAGTTCAATGCTCACGTGGGCAATGACAGCATGACCTGGAGGGGTGTGATTGGGAGGAACGGCCCGCCTGATCTGAACTCGAGTGGTGCTTCGTTATTGGACTTCTGTGCAAGCCGCAGTTTGGCCATAACGAACACCATGTTCGAACATAAGGATGCCCACCGGTACACTTGGTACCAGAGCAGCCTAGGGCGTAGGTCGATGATAGACTTTGTAGTTGTATCATCTGACCTGCAGCCGTATGTTTTGGACACCCGAGTGAAGAGAGGAGCGGAGCGGAGCTGTCAACTGATCACCGCCTGGTGGTGAGTTGGATCAGATGGCAGGGGAAGATGCCGCGTAGACCTGGCAGACCCAAACGCATAGTGAGGGTCTGCTGGGAACGCCTGGCAGAAGAACCTGTCAAGACTGTCTTCAACTCCCACCTCCGGCAGAGCTTTGACCGCATCCCGAGAGCAGTGGGGGGCATTGACTCCGAGTGGGCCTTGCTCCACTCTGCGATTGTTGAGGCGGCTGTTGCTAGCTGTGGCCGCAAAGTGGCCGGTGCCAGTCGTGGTGGCCACCCCCGTACCGTGGACACCAGAGGTTCGGGGAGCCATTAGGCTAAAGAAGGAGGCCTACAGGGCGTGGCTGGTCTGTGGGTCTCTGGAGGCAGCAGACGGGTACCGGATAGCCAAGCGGGGTGCAGCAGTGGCAGTTGCTGAGGCACAATCTCGGGTGTGGGAGGAGTTTGGTGAGGCCATGGAGAAAGACTATCGATCGGCGCCAAAGAGGTTCTGGCAAACTATCTGGCGCCTCAGGAGAGGGAGTCAGCAACTCGCTCACACTTTTTACAGTGGGAATGGGGAGCTGCTGACGTCAACTGGGGCTATAGTCAAGTGGTGGAAGGAATACTTTGAGGAGCCCCTCAATCCCACCTACGCGCATTCCGAGGAGGAGCCAGAGCCAGGACAACTGGGGATGGACTGTCCAATCTCTGGGGCAGAAGTTGCTGAGGTGGTCAAACCACTACACAGCGGCGGAGCCCCGGGGGTGGATGAGATTTGTCCTGGGTATCTCAAGGCTATGGATGTGGTAGGGCTGTTGTGGTTTACACGTCTCTGCAACATTGCGTGGTCATCGGGAGCAGTTCCTGTGGAGTGGCAGACCGGGGTGGTGGTCCCCATCTTTAAGAGGGGTGACCTCAGCCTCCCTGGAAAGGTCTACTCCAAGGTACTGGAGAACAGGGTCAGATCGATAGTTGATTCTCAGATTGAGGAGGAGCAATGTGGTTTTTGTCCTGGCTGTGGAACTGTGGACCAGCTCTATACCCTTGCAAGGGTGATGGAGGGGGCATGGGAGTTTGCCCAACCAATCCACATGTGTTTTGTGGATTTGGAGAAGGCTTATGACCGTGTCCCCAGGGGCACCCTGTGGGGGATGCTCCAGGAGTATGGGGTGGGAGGCTTTCTGTTAAAGGCCATTCAGTCCCTTTACCAGAGGAGAGTGAGTTTGGTCCGCATAGCCGGTAGTAAGTCAGACCTGTTCCCGGTGAGGGTTGCACCCTGCCAGGGTTGCCCTTTGTCACCGGTTCTGTTCATAACCTTCATGGACAGAATTTCTAGGCGCAGCCGTGGTGTGGAGTGTGTCGAGTTTGGTGGCAGGAGAATCTCGTCTCTGCTTTTTGTGGATGATGTGATCCTCATAGCTTCATCCAGCTCTGACCTTCAGCTCTTACTGGGTTGGTTCACGGACGAGTGTGAAGCGGCTGGGATGAGGATCAGCACCTCCAAATCTGAGACCATGGTTCTCGACCGTGAAAGGGTGGCTTGCCAACTCTGGGTCGGGAGAGAGGTCCTACCTCAAGTGGAGGAGTTTAAGTATCTCGGGGTCTTGTTCATGAGTGAGGGTAGGAGGGATCGGGAGATCGACAGGCGGATTGGTTTGGCATCTGCAGTGATTCGGACGCTGAGCCGATCTGCTGTGGTGAAGAGGGAGCTGAGCCAGAAAGCCAGGCTCTCGATTTAATGGTCGATCTATGTCCCAATCCTCACCTATGGTCATGAGCTTTGGGTAATGACCGAAAGAACGAGATTGTGAATACAAGCGGCCGAAATGAGTTTCCTCCGTAGGGTGGCCGGGCTCAGCCTTAGAGATAGGGTGAGGAGCTCGAACATTCAGGAGGGACTCGGGGTAGAACTGCTGCTTCTCTGGATCGAAAGAAGTCATTTGAGGTGGTTTCGGCATCTGGTCAGGATGCCTCCTGCACACCTCCCTGGGGAGGTGTTTCGGGCATGTCCTGCTGGCGGGAGGCTCCCCGGTCGACCCAGGACACATTGGAGAGGTTACATCTCCAATCTGGTCCGGGAACGCCTTGGGGTCCTGCCGGAGGAGCTGGTGGAGGTGGCTGGGGAGAGGATGGTCTGGAGCTCCCTAGTTGGGATGCTGCCCCCGCGACCCGGACCCGGATAAGCGGAGGAAGATGATAATGACAATTTTGTCTTAAATGTCTTCAAATTTTGATTTCAAATCTTTCAGTATCTAAATTAATATGTTAACTTTGCTGGTCAGAATAAGTTATTATGGGACTCAATACTGTAGAGCTGGACCTGCACTTTTTATTATTTTAATCATTTATACCATTTTAATTTCTCATAATACCAATAATTTATTTGTATATTAAAGCCAGAGTCTGTGTTTATTTCTTCAGACAAATAATTATATTTTCAAAAATGCCTAAATGAATAGTTTGACGCAAACAAACTATTTATTAATCCGAGATTCATCATCAATCTGCTTATCATCTATTGCATTTACCAGGAAATAGTCGTGCTGGACCAAAACTCCGTGAATACGTTAGGAACCTTAGAGTGAGCCGTCTTCACGCTCATAGACTATCTTAGTTGTGTTTGCTCTTCATCGTCTAACAGGAAAAACCGCAGAGTGAGAGGTCCTGCGGCTGGAGGAGGACGGCACTGAAAACATCGCAGAACTCGCTGGAATTTCGAGTTTCTGTTCCGCTGCTGCTGGTCTGGATCTGACCCACGGGATCGTTTTTAGAACAGGAGAAACAATCGGAAGCCAAACCAAAGCACCAATTAAAACAGGTAAGGCAGGTCCGCCCTAACCCATAACTTCTTACGGGTCCAAACCCTGTATGTACAGTCTATGGTCCTAACCCAATTGTCTCACCGTCTATGTCCTGGAGCATAAGTTACACACGGGGTTTAAAGGTGTTTGTTGTAAAACAACCGCGGAATTGCTTTCACAAGATGGACGAGTGTGTTTTTTTTTAACCAAAACTATGTGTCGCTTTGACATCAATATTATTTGATGATTTTACATTTGGTTTGTAGACTCAAGTGATTTAGTAAGAGTCCCATGGACTGATTTCTGCGTTGGCGCCAGGACATAGACGCATCCAACCGGGGGAAAAGTTTGCTTTACTTTAGCCGTAACTCGAAATCTCGCTGTTTTTAGGCGGAAATCACATTTTTATTTTATTTTAAAAGACTCCAGTTGGTGTCAGGCAAACGAGTCACTTTGTGTTTTTGTTTATTCTAAACCAGTTTGTTTACCGCTCGTTAGCCTGTTAATCGGTTAGCATGCCGGCTAGCCTTTTTTCGTAAATGGCTGGGGAAGTTAAAATGCGACAACCCTTTCGTGAGATTCTGGTTGTTTGTGAAGGTTGCATCTAGTGTGGACGTGCCCGGGTCAGACGGGTGTTTCTATCGTAAACAGGCAGCGTCCTCCTGGTTTTTGTCCCCGTGGGTGCTGCTGGTTTGGGACCAGTCTCATTTGCATCAACTCCATCAGCTGTCTGCTTTCTAACATTGTGTTTATTTATCTCCTCAAACTCGAGTAACGTCTTTGATCTGTTGCGTTGTGACTTTTAAGGGTAACTGGTGACTTATGTCAGAGAGGAGGTGCCCACCGCGTCATGGCTCATGACTGAGGTTGTTGTGGTTGTTGCTGATGGGACTCATCACTCAGCAGCCAATTAAAACCTCTAGTTCTATTCTTCTTTCTTTTTTATTTTACTTGTTCCCATCCAACCCCTAGGCCCAAACCGTTGCTGGCTTTACATGAAACATGATCTAATCTAATGTCACAAACTCCTGAAGGGTAACAGCAGAGCTGCTGGAGAACCATCTGGGCTAAATGGTTGGTTCTGGTCTCGTTTGAACTCTTCAAATTGTTCCTAACACAGTCAGAATGGCTGCAGACTGAGCTCCAGATGTCTGAATGTGGTTAGAGCAGAGAGATGTCTGACCGGAGCACAAACGTTGGTTGTAATCGTGCTTTGGGCCAGTTCAGGCTCAGTAATGTAGAATCGTGTCAAAAAGCTGCACGTCTGGACTGATCCACACATAGATTTGGTGTGGCTCCAACCACAGCTGCTGCCAATCTTTTTTCTGATGTTGACTAATCTGTGATTTCATTGATGCCTGCTTCCTGTGGGTCTCTGTAACTAGAACCTTCCTCAGAACATTCATGTAAGGACCAGTAAAGCAAAGGAATCAGAGTCAGAAGGGTTTATTTCCATATGTGTGAGAAGGTTCACAACATTAGGTAGCTGCTGTGGTGCTTGGTGCAAAAATAAGAAATAAGTACAATAAAATAATAATAATGTAGAGAAGCAACAGAGAAAAGACTAATATACACAAAACAAGTCGGTACTGGTGAGAGCAGATCAGACACAACACTGGGTCAGGTGACTGGAGTGGGCAGTCCTAGGATTGTTATTCATGAGTCCAACTGCAGAGAGATGAGAGGTTCGGGTCCAAATGGATCAGAACCTCCTGATGGAGCAAATCTAAAAGACTGTCCAGGGTGAAATGGTCCTGGAGGTGTACAGGTCCTGCATAGAGGGGTGTTTGCAGCCAATGACCTTCTCAGGTGAGCGTACAAGCCACTGCAGCCTCCTCTTATGTCTGATGGAAGCGTAACAGTCTGCTCACTAACACACCGTAAACACTGCTGTTGGTTGGAACTCTAATGTGGCGATGGTGATAGAACGTGTGCTGATCTACCAACGCAGAGCGACGGTGGAATTATTCACATTAGGGCTGGACAATATATCTGCATCAGAATCGGTATCTGCCGTTGTTTTTAACATGCCAGTATCGATCCGATAAAAAAAAAATACTGGGCTGATATTATCAACCGATATTTTTTTCATCTTGTCACCATTTGTTTGCCTGTTTCAGAGGGTGAGGGGGTGATGTGTGTTTGTTTAGTCACGTGACAGTGATTGTAATCATCTCAGAAGCATACATGTGTGTGTTGCATGTACGTAATAACAAATTCAGCTTTAATGATTTTCATTCTATACAAAATCTGCTGATTTCAGAAGCATTAATGTCAGTATATCAGTATCGGCCATAACAATGACCTTAATATCGGTATTAGGGTTGTCACGGTGTGAAAATTTAACCTCACGGTTATTGTGACCAAAATTACCACGGTTTTCGGTATTATTGCGGTATTTTTTTTAAACGTGCTACATTTTCATACAATTAAATAAACCCTGTTTGTCAGAAAATATTGTCCTCAGTTTGTGTCTAAGTTTAGCCTAAAATGTGTTATTTTGTAATGATGTTGTTTATTTGTTTACATTTTTTCCCTTTAGTCTTTAAAATACCAATATTTGCCCATAACTTCTTATTTTATGTCTGTTTGATGTCATCATTTTAAAAATATTAGATCAGATGATACTCAGTACTCAAGTAGCCTTCTAATCAGATACTTTTTTTACCCTTACTTGAGTAATAAACCCTATATCAGGAAAATATCATCCTCGGTTTGTGTCCTTCCAGTGAGCTTTGCAGATGTGGGGAAAATGTCATCAGGTAGTAATCATTGTTAATTCATAATTATTCTCGGAGAGACCAACTCTTATCTGCCCCTGGGAGCCCCGTAATGCATAGCGTCATTTCAACATGGTGGTGTCCGCAACACGGTTTATATGCAGGTAGCGGCGCGTTGCTGCCTTTCACAGACACTTTTTCTGCACGTGCTGCAAACAGGATAGCCGTCTTCTATCAGCTGTCCCTCGGCATTCTTCAAATATCCAAAAGATGCCCGTACTTCCCACTTTGTCTTCTTTGAGGGATAATAAATGTCCTCCTGAGCGCTGCCGTCTCCTTTGGCCATTATTTCAGCTTTAGGTTCAAGAAAGTTTTGGTCGTAAACAACAAAGTGCGCATGTGCTGCCGGCAACTTCAGCAGATGATACGGTGGCTGGTAAGGGTCACCGCGCCCACACCGCAGCCACGGTAAACCCACCAAGATAATATAGTTTTTTTTAAAACAAGACGGTTATTATTATTGTCAACTTTTTTACCAGGGTTTACCGCTACACCGGTTACCGTGACAACCCTAATCGGTATCGGCTCAAAAATTTCATATTGGTGCTTCACTAATCCACTTGGACGTGACACGCTCTGAGTGTGTTTACCACACCTTCATGACCATGTGGATGGACTCGACCTGCGGGCCTGATGGTGTTATTGCAGGAGGTGAGTCTAACCCGGGGCTCATGCTGTGTTCAGTAGAATCCAGACTTGAGACGGTTTAACCATGACCCCTGCTCTAAAATTAGACCAGCAGCTTTTATCACAAACACAGTTGCTGTCAGGTGTAATCAATAATCTGGTTTTTACGTCAGAACAGCTGTTGAATGAGTACAAATCATATTAGCTTTCAGGAGTGTGCTGGCTCTAATTTAAACATCTCCTTCAGCTGCAGCGATAAACGCGAGGGGTGGGGAGGGGGTCTGGATTCAGACAGCTGGGCATTCCTCAGTCCAGCCCTGGATTGTAGATCCACAAATAACTGACTGGCCGAGCAGGAAGCAGCAGAGTAACCATCGCCAGATGATCCTGTTGTCCTCATACCCCACACTGCTATCACCAGGCGCGTGTGTGTGTGTGCGTGTGTGTGGTTGGTGTGTGTGTGTGCGTGCGTGTGTGGAGCAGCTCTACAGTGAACTCAGACTGATCATCAAGTTAAAGGACCAACAACTTTGGCGCTAAACCGTCCCTCAGCTGCGTCTGACAGGCACAAGTCTGCCGCTTGGTTTAGGAAAACCAGACTTGTTCTGATGGGTTTTCTTTGCTGATTATAGGTGAGGGGTTTACTCTTTGTTCTCATTTACCTCCACTTTTTCTTAGAACATGAGTGATTTATCATTTCTCCACATAAACCAATCAGAGAAACGGATAAAATAGACCCTCTTCTTTTCGTTTTCCATCCCCTTCTTCCTCCTCCTGTTGGTTTCTTCTGTCGGTCTGCTTCGTCTCCGATTTCTGTCTCCTGGGAACGTTTCCAGTCTTGGAAGTTGAACCTGGGGATCTCTCCTTTTCTTCAGCTCTGTTTCAATCCCTCTCTCCACTCCTTATCCTCAGTTTCCTCCTCCTCCACCTCTCAGAGATTTTCCAGCCTGTAGAACGAGGATCAAATTTCCGAGGGAGTCTCTGAGGCTCTCTGGCAAGGTTGAGGTGGAGGAGGGAGGAGGTAAGGAAAGAAGGGAGGAGATCAGGTTTCATGTCTCCAGCACTCTCCTCCCTCCTCCTCCTCCCCCACCGACTTGGAGACAGAGTGGCTGGGCTGGGGAGCAAAACATGCAATCCAGCCCTCTCCTCTAGCCTCTCTGCTGCAGCACAGCAGATAAATAAAGGCAGTAAATGGCAGCCGAGCACACAGAGGGGCGATTCTTCACCTCCTCCATCCCTCCCTGCACAGACGCTCTGTAACCTCCTCCCTCTGTTGGTTCTGCTGGGTTTGAGACCAAGGTGAAGCTGCTGCAGAGCCAGGCAGGTTCTGGTGTTTTAGCTGAAGCAGATTCTAAAGAAGAGTTATTACAGGTTTATGTAATGAGGAGGAGAACTCATTTTTTATGATGACATCATTTATACTGACCATTGTTAAATGTTCTAAACTCTGTTCTTCGTCCTGATATCAGCAGCAGGTCGGCGCCTCCGCCTGCCCTCCAACAGTATTGATCTCTGCTTTAAATACGCCCAGCCCAGTGAATAATTCAGACTTCCTCACCACGGGCTCAGAGGTCCGTTGAATGGGAGGAATGCTGGTTCTGATCCCGGTG